CTTAGAATGCATCCTCTGATCCTTAGCCCTTTAGAACGCCTTAATCGCAACATTTCAGAGCCCTATTTTATTTCGGGTTTGAACCATCGTGGTTCAAATTCGTTTTGCAGACTTATCTTAGACATTGTGTCTATTGCAAGAAAATGAAGTTGTATAGTTGAAAAAAAAAAACTATTAAAAAATTAAATATAAATGCAATGCCGAAATTTCAATTTCAGAAACAATCGAGTTTTTGAAAAGTTCTGATAGTACACGAAACTTAAAAGTGCAAAATGTAAAATTTAAACAAAGATTTGTGCTTAGATTCTTGGCTACATAAGGATTAACCTAGCCGAGACCAAATGCAGAAGCTCAATTGATTCCCGGAAAGTGCAGTTACGTGTAAAACCACCTAGTTTAAGTGCAAGGCAGGGCAGACAGCTGTGCCACTCGAGTGATGGTGCAACCATTTGAGGACATTCAAAGAGCCTTCCGGGAAGCGGCAGCCACCCCCGCGGGCCCACAAGCCAATGGCAATGGCCCATTCAAAAGTCATACGAAAGTTGACCAAGTGCTCGTAAAATCTGAAGATGAACTGCGACCCGTCACATAAAGAGCGCGCATAAATTTGGGCCAACAATTGGGCCGTGGCCAAAAACGAACGGCTGCTAATTGAAAGGCACGAGACGGAAGACGAGGACACAACCGGCAGCAGCAGCAGCAGCAGCAGCAACAGCAGGATCAGAGGCAGCATCTGGACAAATATTTACTGAAGCTTCGCCGACTCGTAAATTGCCGATTGCCAGTGGCCAAGGGGCACAATGCGACCGACCGAGAGCACAGAATCAAAATCAAAGTGAAAGTAATGACCAATGCCCGTCCGTCCATGTCGCTCGGCTGAGCTGAAGATCAGCGCTGGACAGAGACATTAGGCTACCGTTATTGTAGTTCCTGCCCCTGCTCCTGCTGCTGCTGCTGCTGCTGTTACATTAAAAAGAAAATAACAACACACGAGACAAATCTGGGCTAAGACACCTTGCGACGTCGCCGTGTGGGTTTTTCTTACCTTTCTTTTTCCATTTCCCAGTTTTTTTTTTTTGTCATTTTTACTGTGCGGCAGCTGTGGACGCATTGTCTGCCGGCAAAGCTGGCCGGCACAAAGGACACGGCACACCAGGACACGGCAGGTAAGCCGCCGCATCCATTCAGAGAGCGAAGAGCTGCAAAGAGCGAGCCACAATACATTTTGTGCTGCTCTTAAGCTGTGAGCGCCCCTGGCGGTGGGTAGCGGCAACTCGGCAAAATCTGTGCACGGTCAAAGCAACTGTTGAGCGCAGGATAAAGGAGGCAGGAATTAAATAATAGAAGGAACTGGTTTGGGGCTTAACGAGGAACACTTTTAAATGATAAAAATAAATGGGTTGGACTCAACTATATATATACATATATATATAACTAAAAGAGGATAGGTTTGTGCTAAGGACTTGTTCAAATTATTCGCAAAGACATTTCGTTTTACGCTCTTCTGCAATTGAGTTTACGAAGTCAAAAAACAATCTAGAAGGAACTTAAAGAAATTATCTTAAATTTATAAAACAAATCAAATTAAATACAAACAGCTTTAAGTTGATTTTAAGTTATTTCTTATGAAGACAGGGGCGAGTGTATATAGAGTACGTTAAAGTCAAGAGTCAAAGTTGATCAAGAGATTAATCCTGGCGTCAGATTGATCTAAACATATCCCTTAAGACTTTCGATCGAGTTAAAGAAAACAAGACTTCCTCTCAAGGTTTGTGGAAAGCTTTCAAAAGCTTTAAGTAAGCCTTCAAGTTGCAAGAAATTTAAAGCGATTGAATTTACTATAAGATCTATCCCACCAGAGCATCATTATTAGATGATTATCTAAACATATCTCAAGGTTGTCGCATGTGGAAATACTGTAAAATATAGTAAGAGCTTTAAGTAAGCTTTAAGGTCTTAATGAAATTCATAGCAAACGAATTCACGACCTAAGCTCTGCGAAGAACTGTTCCATCAGAGCATTACGAAGCTATATAAATATTAGATAATTTTCTAAACGTCTCAAGTTCTGCGCATGTGGTAATACTCCAAAATACAGTATGAGCTTTCAAGAGCTTTAAGATAAAGCTTTAAGTTCTGCGAGGAGCGCTTAATGACTTGATTTTAGGAACTATTCTAGCAGAGCATAAAAAAGCTCTATAAATATAAGATGATTAATATTTTTAGATATATTATTGTTATTATTATTGCTAGAAATAAGACAAGTTTAACGGAATAGAAATGTATCCTGGCATATCACGTAGCACAAATGATCCAATCAATACTTGCGCTTGCAATTTCTCATAAGTCCAAGGACATTGACAAAGTGATCTCGTTTTTGCCTTTGTGCACGCTTACGGCTATCTTTTCAGAGCCTCCTCCCAGAATCCCAGCCAACAAAAGAGAGAGAGAGGGAGAGATAGAGGGAGGGAGAGAGAGAGAGAGAGAGGGAGGGGTATAGAGAGCGAGAGAGTCTCCTTCTCTCTTCTCTTTTATTTCTGGCCCTTTCGCGGTGGTTGCTCGTCCGCAAAATCGTTGCCGAAACGAACCCATAAACGTTCCGAACACCTCGGCCGCTCGTCATTTCCGTTTAAGGCCTCGTGCGCTGCAAACGTACACGCGCGGCACTTCATACATAAAAAAACAAAGTAGAAACCAGAAGAAGAGTCCTACAAGCCAGTCCAGCTCTAGATCATTCTTGGATCTTGTCAACTTCTTCTTTTTTTTTTTTTACGGTGCACAAGTGGAAAAGTGTCAAAGTTTTGGATCCTTAAAGCGATCGCTAGCGGAATTCGGGAATATTACGCAGGCGACATAGTCGCATCTCCTACACCTATACACACCTCTATAGAGAGAGAGACAAGCAGCTACAGTTATCAGGTAAGTGCATGCCGTTAGATCTTATCGTCATGGTACGGTTCGCATTATCAGATCGTGTCGTGTTCCATTAGTTTGTAGTGGGTAATCGATAGCCTCCTTCTGGGCTGTCGGTCCAGTCTCAGTTACTTTGTCGAACACACCTGGCAATACACAGACACACACACACACACACACACACGCAGGCACACTCACTCGCACACACACGTGCATCTGTGTAATTGCGCTCGCACCCATGTGCCGTAGCCTATTTGTCTTTTGCTCTAGCTCTAATTTTAATTTAGCCAAGAATGGAAAAAACGCAAGAATAAGAAAAGCGAATGAAGAAAAAATAAACCCTAAGACCTAACCCCTAGAGCCGCAGTCACACAGATCACGGAGAGACCCACAAATAGAGTAGAAGAAGATGAAAAAAAAAAAAATAATAAGAAGAGGAAAGGGGTGGTGCGCTGCTCTAATACATTTAATTTGTTGCTGTTTTTTTTTTTCGTCCACCCCGTGAGCTGCTAATCCGCCTCGGGGCACAAGTCAGACGGGAGGCAGGGAGGTAGGCAGGGAGCGGGGTTTTCCCTTAGCTCGTAGCGTTCTTTAAGTAAAAGGAAAAAACAACAATTTTCTTTTTGCTCGCCTCGCCTCGCCTCGCTGCGTTTTGCAATTTTCAATTTTCATCGGGGTGACGTTTATGGATTACATGAATACCCTATTTTCTTTAACGCTTGTGCGTGTGTCAGTCGCTGCCTGTATGTGTGTGTGTGTGTGTGTGTGTGTGCGTGTGTGCCGTTGCCTAGCTGAATAAGAAGAAGAGCATGCTGCCGCCTGATCCTTGCGCTCCTTTCCTGCCCGTGGCCGGGCCTGTTTGCAAAAATGGCATCATTATGCTGGGGCGTAATTGTTTCACACACACACACACACACACACACACACGCACACACAGAGCGCGCGGATCCCTTTGGGCAGGGACTCGCTCAATTTTATGGTTTGCGGCTGCGGCGTAAAATGAAGAAACTCTGAGGAATCTTTGCCGAAAATTAGCATAAGTTTAATTTGAATTTCGCAAGGCCAAAAACCTGAAATTGCGCGCACAGCCAAATGCAGCCTGGCTGCAGCAAGGACCAAAAGGCTGACGTTGCCGCTGCCTTCGCGACGAGTACGTGAAAAACTCGTTTGCCGCAAAACAATTTGCAAAAATTTCTTGCTTTCTGCCCATTGTCTTGGGCCGCTTCCCTCACACACACATGCATGCATTTACTACATATCTATATATAATATACTCATATATCTAGTTTTTTTTTTTTTTGTTTTTTGTGCACATTCGCATCAAATTGTCTGTCAGCCAGTTTGTATGAAAAAAAAACCCGCTCGCCTGCGGCCAGCTGCCCGCCTTGGCCCAGATACCCAGCCCAGCTAGAGTATACGTTTATGCTGAACCGCTTTTTATAAAACAGAAGCTCAGCATTTGTTCACCCAAGGATTCAATTTAGCCTAGAGGCTCAAAGGCTGGAATTGGCAATCGTCAGGATCAGAGACGATCGTGTTGAGGCATAAAGTAGCCAAGAACGAGGAGTCCAGTGACCGCATAGAATTACAGGGAACACCAGTGGAAACGAAAATAATGAAGAATATTACAGAAGCCTTAAACAAACTTATCTAGATATTGATTGTCCTTTCCACACCCCGTGGGCGTTGGCAAACTCTTTCTACTATTCACTATTCAAAACTATTCCAAATTCTGCGAATCTAGCTGTCAAATTAAGAAAGTCTACAGATTTGCCTTACTTGGGTGGGCGTAGATGGGTGTGGCCAAAGGATTTTTATATCGGACGTAACATTTTTGATGGAACTCCTCAATACTGTCAGAAATTTTATAGATTTTTGGGTTTTCTCACACAATATACAAGTCTATAAAATATCCATATCAAATCTTTGTGAGGATTTGGACCGTGGTCCCAATATAACTTTGTTTCGGTTCAGGTTTAGATTGGACTTCTTTCTCCTGCTACCCTTCCTACCGGCCCTGTTCAGCTCCGTCTTGTGATCCTGTGAGGCGGTCTCTAATCCTCTCCAGCTGATTTCTTCTTGCGCAGCTTGGCTAGGACATGCCCACCATGACACGGATGCATCGGCACTCCAGCTCCAGCGGCGTCGAGGAGACGCGCGGCAGGCGGCGCAATGCCAGCGGCGATGCGAATAAGGAGAACTTTGGCGTCCACTTCATGAGCAGCCCCTTTGGCAACAGCAGCCTCATCGCCCTCCAGGACCTGAGCAATGTGCATGGCAAGAGTCCGCAGCGGCGCAGCTTCAGTGAGGGCAGCGGCCCGCGTCAGGCGACGCCGCAGCTGGCAGCGCTGCGCTGCCTGCCGCACCTGGGTGCTGCTGCGGCAACGGGCGGCGGCGGCGGCGGCGCTGGCGGTCTGGAGGACTCGCAATTGTCGTCGTCGCGCATGGGCGACATCACGCTGGACCGCATGTTGGATGCCATCATCGAGTCGGCGCGCAAGGAGGTGCGCTGCAAGCATCAGACGACAGCGGCAGCGGCGGGAGCCACGCCCGATTTGACGCTGGGCGACGGCGAGTGGAGCGAGAGCAGCGTCCATGAGATGGAGGTGCGCACTCCCACCCACCTCAAGCGACAGCGCGTGGTGCGGCGCAAGAATCAACACAGAGCCGCAGCCGCGTCCAATGCGACCAGCACAAGCTCCAAACAGAACGATGGACGCGCCGAGAGCCAGCGGCATGTGCTTGGCCAGAAGCTGGCGCTGAGCAAGCCGCCCAGCCTGGATCATATACCTAGCAGCAAGCGTTGCCTGAGCTTCTCCTCGAGCTCCACGTCCAGCGATCTGGAGGACGATGAGCACTACGCCAAGCGCATTTCCATGGCCTCCTCCTCTTCTACCTCCGCCTCCACCACCACCACCTCCAGCACGAGCAGTGCCGAGTTTCATCCACGAGGCAGCATCGATCTGAGCATCGCCTACGATGCCCAACAACAACAATTAAATGTACATGGTGAGTTCCAGAGTCTCCACCCGAAAGTGCACAGCTTCATCCACTAAGATGCCATAGATTCTGATTAGATTAAATACTAGTTGATTTCATGTGTTCGCAGCGGAACAATGAATTGAAACAGTCAAACAGCAATGTCCTAGTAAAGAGGAACGCTGGCATGAAACGTATCTGGTTTCCACTTTTGTCAAGCTTGTGCAAATGAGTAGAAAGTTTGCTCATTGGAACAGTGGAATGAAACACTTAATAAGCGAATTCCAAGCTGGCATGAAACTTTCTTTAGACATATCAATGTTTCCACTTCTCTCACGCTCATGCAAGTTAGTTTTTTTTTTAATAAGATTTCTTCTAAGTGGAACTTATGTAGAGTTTAAAAAGTTGATGGCATTTTTCAATGTGCCCAGACCTAGCTAAAAATTGAGAAATTGTGTGGAGTTTAGCTAGACTATGACTGGAATGAGGAGTGGAAAAATCTTATTGGATGCAGCTGGCCCATGATTAATTTAAATGGAAAATCATCTTAAATCTAATACTCCATTACAGTTATACGATGCCGCGATCTGCAGCGCCTGCACGGCACAGGCAGCATTAATGCGTACGTCAAGGTGTCGCTGGCATCCGGAAATGCCACCAACAGCAGCAGCAGCAGCGGCAGCAACAGCTCGAGTCGCTTCCAGCGCACGGCCGTCCATCGGCACTCGAGTCGTCCGTACTTTGATGAGCGCTTTAGCTACCATGTTCAGGATGCCATGCTGCAGGCGACAATGTCGGCGTCGGCGTCGTCGTCGACGCAGCTGCAGCTGGCCGTGTGGCATCGGGATCGTCATCTAAAGTGAGTACGAGTAAGGTCAATAGCAGCCGTTAAGTAAGCAAGTATCGTATCGAAAGCTGTCTGGCAGCAAAAGTGCGTGTCATTCACCCCCAATCGACAGGACAATGCTAGATGGCGGTGGCATGGGTAGTGGGGGTGGAGGTGGGGGGCTGCCAGGCAAAGCGATGCGGGGCGGGGTGTCTCAGCCTAATTGTAACGTTTTCCTGTAGCACACTTTGCCATTGTGCATTTCCTGCACATAAACAAACGCAGCGCCCACAGGGTGACGGGGCGCAGCCAGGCGGGCTGCTGGCTCTGGAGCGCCTTCCAGCAACCAAGACACACACACACACACCCACATAGACACACACACACACATGCACTCATCCAGCGCAAGCGCTGTGAGAGCTCTGGCCTCAGTCTCTGGCCGCATTCCAGCTAACTGTAAACTTTGCCTGGGCTTCAGTTTTAACGTGGCTCTTGTTTCTCTTTTTGCTTCTTCTTCTCTCTCTCTCTCTCTCTCTATATATATAAATATATATTTGTTTTTTTTTTTTCGTGTGATTTTGGTTTGGTTCGTTGCGCTGTGCACGTTCCGCTCAGTTCGAGTGTTCAGCTCGCGCGACGCAGACGCAAAAACGGCACAAGCTGGCAACGCTGCTGCGGCAAACACGCAGCCAAACGCAACGACGGCGTGTTTTAACTGTGCCCAACAACAAATGCTAAAAAGTATGTGTGCGTGTGTGTGTACATGTTGTGCGCCCCAAAAGCAAACAATAATAATAATAATAATAATAGTAATGTGTTTGCATATAAATATATATACATATTTCAATTTATATGTATATATATATATATGTACATTTATTTTATTTAATTTGTTTCTTGTGTCACATGTGTGTGCTTTTATTTAAATGCAAATGCTCCTTGCTATGTTGGCAGTGCTGTAATTGCCTTTTGCGCTGCCAGCTCAAAAGTATGCAGCACCAAATTATATAACTGTGTGTGCGTGCCAGTATGTGCGTGCGTTTTTTTTTTTTTTGGTGTAGCATAACTTTAGGCATGCTGCTAAATAATTGTGACCAAAGGCTGCGCTGCGTTAGCGTGCGCGTCCCTCTGCGCGCGTGTGTGTGTGTGTGTGTGTGTGTGTGTGTGTGTGTGCTTGCGTGTGAGTGTAGTTTTTAACGCGCACAGTGGCCAAGTTAATTGAAATTCAAGGACATGGCAGCTGGCCTGTCCTCTTCAGTGCGCGCCTATACACACACACACACACACACACACACGCACATACCCATTTATTTCGTCATTCAAAAATTCAGACATTTAGTCATTCATTCGGCTAGCGCTTATGTCAAATCGATAGCCGCGCTCGCTACATTATGCAATGGCCACAGGTCAGAGGCAATCAAATTCTCGGCTAATTCAGTCAGGTCTGAAGCTCGCTAAATGCACACCTGGGACATGGCACACCTGCACACGCACACCTGACATTTGTTATGCATGCATAATGATAACATTCCGTTCTTGTTGTTGTTGTTGTTGTCGTTTTCTATTTGCAACTGCCTCGTTAAGCATTTTAAGCAAATTTGCCGAATGACAGTTCGCTAAATAATTCATTGGCCCTTTTATGAGCCTGTGGCAAGGGTTGATGCCTCACCACACGGCTTTTGCGGCAGGTGGCAACAGTTTCTGTCGCACCTACGCTACGCAGCCTGCTACATTTTTAATGCACTGGCCCCAATTTTCTCAAATCCAAGCCTGGCACGGCGCGGGTGTGCTTTTGCCCAAAAAACAACAACAACAACCAAAACTCGAGAGAGACTTTAAGTGCTTGTCGCACCGCTCCCCTACCGCCTTCCCCCATTCCCTGTCTGACAGACAGTTGCGATTGCAATCGCAAAACTTTTGGCGCTGCTGCAGCAAATGAAAATCAATAAAACTGACCCAAATACGCGCGGGCAAAACTTCCTAGCCAGGCCAGGCCAGGCCAGGCCAGGCCGGGCCGGGCCGGGCGCCAAGCGGTGGCTAGAAAAATAAGCAACTAGCTCGACAAGGTTCAAAGCGTATTTCCGGTGCACCTATTGGATCTATGGGAATGCCAAGCAAAGACAGCTTAGACGACGCTAATTGATTTATGTCACGTGCCGCGGGGCTGGCGGGGAGGTGCCACAAGCAGGTCGTGGGAGAGTCGGGTGTACAGTGGAGCCAAACCAGTTGTAAACAGAATGCAACGTGACGCAAGGCTACCAAAAAAAAAAAAAAAAAGGAAAAAAGAAGAGAAAAAACATCTTATCGGACGTCATTCGTCCTGAGCCGAATCGTGAGCACCCTGCACACAATCGAATGCCCTTGACCAAATGCATGGGGTCGTTCAGTGTGGGATTATTTATTAGCCAGTTTTCAGTGGCTAGCCTCGCAACTAGCCACTAGCCACTCGCCTTGATTTGCTAGCTGCTAGCGAGAACAAATTGGAAACTTCCTTTCAAAGGTCGACATCCGTTCGGCATAAATGCCAGGCAACAATGTGGCTGCTATCTGACAGATCTTCAGTGCAATTTACGAAGCCAGCTCCATTAGTTCACATACTAGCACTAACTAATGGCCGAGCCACTAGCAGCTCATCGGTTTATGGGCCAAGTGTGGCTATCTATTCAATTAATCGACCGTATTTCTGTTGGTTCGGTGCTCTAGTAAACGAAAGGATCCTGTTACCCAACAGTTTCCTGCTGCGTCATACTCAAAGGTTAGCTAGATTGTGGGTGTAATGCAATTCTGGGAACTAGTTGTGAGCCAATAAGCCAATTACAGCAACTGTTCAAGCAAGCTAAACGCTGAAGCGGAAATAAATCGAAGAATTCCTACGCAGCTAATCGGCGAAAGTCAAGGAAACCAAGGAATTTCCAATGAAATTGCCAGGAGTCAAGGCATGAGCTGCAATTCCTGTTAAAACTGCAAGCATTTCCCTTATTTTATTTGTTATTCTTTTTACCGTGAAATTGATTTAAGCTTCCGTCCAATTGGACTTTGCGCTCAAGTTATTTAATTTAGCGTTTGTAATATCCACAGACGCAGCGAATTCCTGGGTTGCCTCACGTTTCCATTGAGCGCCTTAGTGCAGCAGAGCCAGAACCAGAACCAGAACCAGAGTGCAACGGGATCCTACAGGCTGCACGCGCAGGGATGCCTTCATAGCTGCCGCAGCAAGCCGCACGCCACAGTCCACGTCACGCCCACAAGCATCGTCAGCCGTCCGCAGGAGGAGTCCAAGCAGGCGCCCAACGATAGGCCCAAGGGGGAGCCAGCAGGAGTAGGAGTGCCAGCCAGATCCGACGCAGTGGCCGTTATACCCAAGATGTCAACGATGGCGGCACCACTGAAACCAAATGCCGCCACGGCAAACGCGCTGCTCAGCGATGATGTCATCGGCATTGGCATCGGCATCAGCATTGACAGCATGGCAGCCGCCGGCGGACCGCTGGGCAATGGCAGCCGGGATGAGGCACAGCTGCTACAGTCGCAGTCGCAGCAGCCGATGGTACTCAGCAAGAAGGCGCTGCATCAGCGCGATGCCGATGAGAATCTGTTCTTGCGCTTTCTGGAACTGGATCCGCCCGCCGATGGCAATGCGAACAGCACAACCGCAGCGGGCAACAGCACTGGCGGCGCCGCTGCCGGAGCCAGTGCGTCCAATGCCAATGCGAATGCCAGCAATGCGAACCATTTAAATGGCAGCGGCGGCGGCGGAGGAGGAGGAGCTGGCAGCGCGACGCGACGCTGCTCAACGCTGCCCGGCAGCCGGCAGCCAACGGGACGGACGCCGTTCACGATGACCAAGCGATTGACGCGCACGGAGGAGCGCGGCTTTGGGTTCTCCATTGTGTGGACACATCCGCCGCGTGTGGAGAAAGTGGAGAGCGGACTGTCAGCGGATCGCTGCGGCATATTGCCGGGCGACTATGTCATCTTTGTGGACAAGCACAATGTGGTCACGATGCCCGAGGCTGATGTTCTGAATTTGATACGATCGCAGGGCTCGTCCTTGACGTTGGAGATATTCAGAAGGTCAGGCGCGGGCGCCAACATGGCCAGCAATGCCGCCAACACCATCAGCACGGCGGTCACAGTCAGCGCCAGCCACAATCATCAGCCCAACTCGACTGCAGCTCAGCCCCAGGCACAGCCACAGCCCCAGGTCCAGTCCCAGCTACAGCAGCGGCAGCATTGCGGCCTGGGCTCGCTGGCGCCCAGCGAGGAGCAGCTAGCCACCAGCGGCACAGTGGTCCAGCGCACGGCCAGTGTGCGTCCCCAGTTATTGAGCAATACGATGTCGCGCCCGGCCACCGCCTGCTCCGGCACCACCTCCTCCATTGAGGCGGCCAAGCGGCGGCTGCACCTGCCCCAGGTTACGTTCAGCAAGGAGGTAGGCAAGGGCGTCATTGTTTAAGTCCACCAAGCACCCAGCCGCCAAGGCCATCGGCTAGTTTTAGTTGTCTCTTATTGAATTTGCCATTGTTTATGAAATACCCTTCATTTTTTTTTTCTTCTGCTTTTTGTACATATCTTTAGCGCATTATTGTTAAGTTTAAACGTTTAAGTTTTTGCCATTTCTATAAATATCATCTTATATATATATATTTTTTTTTCATTTTTTTTTCTTACCCACTTAACCCGCTCCCAACCTACGCCCACCGCTTGACAATAAAATTTTCTTTTTTCGATTTCATGTGGCTTTTACCCAAGTTTTATTTCTTTCTTGCTTTTGCTTTTTTTGCTTGGCTTTCGCGGAAGGGGAAGTCGGCGTGTTTTCAGACGAGGGCGTAATGAACTCCCACAAGTTGTTTCCGTTCTCATAATGGGCCCAGTTTAATTGGGTTTCTTCGCTTATGCATTGCATACCGAGGACCTTTCTTAGCCCCTTATGGAAATTACTCAGAGACGATGACAAAACGCTTCATTACGTAGGCAAAAGCATGATTGACGAAAACATAACTATTTAATGGGCATTGTACTTTTAATAAGCAACATGTGAGAGGCTAGCAGTTGGTGAGACTGAAAATCCCAAAGGTCCTTAATGAAAGCAATCAAGTTTTTTCAGTGTTCAAAGAGTAAAGGAGAGTATATTGGTTCTGTGAAAGTGCTTAAAGTGTCACGCCTGACAGGCTGCAGGAAAATGCGAACATCTTCCATCTTCCAGTGCTTTAAAGGCTAGATTACCCAAAATGTTTAAATGAATCACGCCGCTTTCAATCACAAAAATCTACATGCTCCACAGCTATAGAGCTGGAATTATCCAATTTGGAATAATGAACTCCTCTAAAGAAAGATTAATTTAAGGTCTTCTGGGAGGTAGTCTACTTTACACAGTTATTACCTAGTTTCACTCGAGTTCAAATAGACAGACGGAAGATTTGAAAACAGAGAAAGTCACAAGACACCTCCAGAGTATATATCCACAATTGGTGAAGGCTATGACAAACACGAATTCTTAAAGCAACAAGACTCCTTCAGAGTGTGAATCCAGATTTGGTGAAGACAAGTGGAGAGAGAATTCCTTAGTGGCTAACATAAACCTATCCCGTTCTCTATCATTTACCTCTGCCCACCAACTGGTACAGTCGATTGTGCCCATAACGGATAATCGTCGACGCTTCTTGCTGCAGCTCATCAGCCGGGAGCAGAACTTTACGGCCGCCATTCACTTCGGAGTGCAGCGCTTTGTGCAGCCCTTGCTGGACCGCAAGGATCTAATATCGCCGAACGATCATCGGACTCTGTTCCAGAACATCGATGAGCTGCTGCGCATTTCCGAGGATATACTGGAGCAGCTGTGCAGCAACGAGCAGGAGCAGGAGCCGCACATGAACTTCGCCTCACGGGTCTATCTCTCCAAGACGACGGCGATTTGTGCCGCCTACAAGAAGTACTGCAACGGCATAAAGCGTGCCGACTGCGTTCTGGTGAACAAGTCCCGGCAGACGGGCTCCGAGTTTATAGCTTTTATCACCGAGCCAGCTGTGCCCCGTAAGCGTCCCGACCTGACCATGTTCATACACAGGCCACTGCAGCATTTCAGGGAGATCCTGAAGCTGATGCAACTGCTCGCCAGCAATTGCCACGTCGATACCGAGGAGCACAAGAACTTTACCACTGTCATTGGTGAGCTGCAGGCCGCCTATCGCGAGATAACCGTCAGCAGCGGCCTGATGGAGCCCCTGGGCGAGGGTCGACCACTGTTGACGCTGCAGGATCTGGAGTCGCGCATGGTGTTCACCAAGTGCAAGCCCTTTACGCTGGCCGTCCAGGGCCGCCAGTGGATATTCGGCGGCGATCTGTCCCGCGTAGAGGGGCGCTCGATAAAACCCTACTGGACGCTGCTCTTCAGTGACATCATTGTGTTTGCCAAGGTCAGTCGGGATCGCGTGCTCTTCATCACCGAGGAACCGATACCCATTGCCAACGTGGTCGACTCCTGTTTTAATATGCGCAAGAAAAGTGAGCTTAAGACAAATTTTGCGATTTGCCGACATCAAATCTCTGAATGCTATTGATTCTCCACAGCCACTGAATTCCGCCTGACCGTGGATCCCAATGGAAGACTGGCTGAAAGTCCGACCGGCTACTGTGCACCGGATCTAACGCGCACACCCAAGCGCGGCGCCCGGCGGAAGAGCCTCATCCTGCGCGCACCCTCACTGGAGCTGAAGGCCGTTTGGCAGAATCTATTGCAGCGACAAATGTAAGTTGAGTTCTTCAAAAGGCCGATGGATCCTTAAAGAATTCCATTAGGCCTGCTTAGTCCATCTGCTTAAGTTCCTTATGAGCACATTGAAAGGAATTCATTTCATTGACTTATGTCCAATATTGAGTTACTTAACTACCCAATGGATTCTTACGGAATTCCATAAGGTCTGTTTATGGTAGTTTCAGCTGACAAATCAAACATTTCCAGTCTCTGGTTAACCTCTTCCTTTTTCTTGCATTTTCTGCCGCAGCTTTCTGGTGAACGCCGCCCTGGGCTCGACGCCACTGTCCAGTCCGCTGGACTCGCCGGATGTGCTGAACACGCTGGTGCCGCTGAGCGACATCGGGATGACCTCCGCATCAATGGGCTCGATGAAACTGCCCTCGCTGGACAGCATCAATCTGAAGCAGCAGAAACAGCAGGTGCGTCTCTTTCGCAGCAAGCGCTTGGACAGCGGCGATTCCTTTGAGAATCTGCAGCGTTTGGCCAGTGCTTTGGTGCCGACGCCCCATCCAGGCCATGCCCCCGTCTCGGTCTCAGTCTCTGTCCCGAATCATGTCCATGCCCGCATTACGGCCAGCACACAAACGGCTCAGCTCTGCTCGGCCTCGCTGCCCTCGCGCACCAGCTCACCCGCCCGCCAGCCAGGCGTGCGATCTGCTCATGCCGCCAGCTGTGGCGGCTCCGTGCCGAACGGCGTGGGCGGAGCTGTTGGTGCTGCTGGCGACAGCACGCTGCGCCGCTACAATACCAACAGCTCCTGCCTGAGCAGCAGCGCCAGCCTTACCGGCCACACCCAGACGCAGACCTCGGCGCAATCGCTGCCCAGCGCCAGCAGCAAATGCCTCACGGCCATACCGGAGGCGAGCAGTGAGCCGGTTGCAACGGCCACGGCAACGGCAACGCATGCCCGGAAGCTGCTCGAGTTTAGTCTCAGCTCGGTGGGTCGCTCCTTTATAGATGAGTCCGTGCTTGTGGCCCAGCAGGTGTCGCTGACCACGCCCGAAACGCCCACGCCGAACCTATCGCCCAGCTCGCTGGCCTGCAACTCGGATGCCTTCTCCAATGACTTTGTGCCGCCGACATTGGCAACGGCAACGGCAACGGCAGCAACGTCTGTCGGTCGGACCGTCAACGTGCCGCTGGCCGAGTTCGGCGGCTCTTGGGATTTGTTGGAGCTGGATCTGCAGCTGAACGAGGTGAATCTGGATCCGTGCTATGACACGGATGTGGAGGAGTGCATCTTTCTGGGCGATGGCGTGGGCGCTGGCTCCAGCGGCGGCGGCGGCGGCGGCGGCGGCGGTGGCCAAACGGACGTAGACGATGACAGCGACGACGATAGCATTGTGGTCGACGATCCATTTGGCATGCTGCCCACCAAGCCGACGCCGCCGGATTCTTTGGATCTGTGATTTGACTTTTGGCTGTCAACCGAAACGCTTACGGATCCAGGCCACAGTCACAGCCAAAGCCTTGCCCACACACACACACACACACACTAGCACAATCTTTGACTAAAAATGAGCTTAGACAACCACCACACTGATTCAATCTAATTAAACTCTTAACGTCTTTAAGCAACTGCGCTTCTGCCTCTCTCTCTCCCTCTCTCTCTCGGCCTCTCTCGCTCGCTCTCACTCGCCCTCACTCTTTCTCTTCAGCATTTGCTGTCTCTCTCCCCCCCTTCGCTCTCTTTGGCCGCACACAGCTTCCACCTAGTTTCCGCTTGTCAACGTGAATTGGGCATTACAATTCCACCCAGATTCCACACTGCTTTCACATATGTATGTTCCACATGGATCTCACATGCGTTCCATCAATCGATCCTAAGCAAATGAGTGTGATCTATCGAATGAATGCCTTATGGAAGATATTTCTAGCTGTCATTGAAACAGTTAACGCAATTAGAGAACTGAGAAGTTGTACACAGACCCTCAAGCAGGAGTTGCGAATTGTCGGTAAATTCGTGAAATTGTTAACAATTAATTGTCTTGGCATTGGTATTCGAGTCTCTTGTATAATCAAATTGTACAAGGCTGGTTTTTTTTTTGTTTTTGATAATTGTGAATCGTTTTTTTTTATACATGCACAGCTAACAGGTTAATTATATATACATATATTATGTAGGTAGTACTCGTATTTATGGACACTGCTCGAGTACACTCAAGGCTACGGCGTTTTTCTTTGAGTGTATTCAGTGCAGCGCATATTCCCTTATTGTATAACGATTTCGATCAAAATATATATAGATATATATTTATATGTATATACCCGTATCTCTCTATATATTGTACTCGTTCTTGTATTCGTCTATCCGTATTGTCCATAGCCAATTGAGTGTAAATATCAAAAAGAAAAGAAAAATTATATAAGAAGAAGAAGAAGCAAAACATGTTGTTGATATGATGATATTTACGCTGATGTGTATGTGTAATTCTAGTCTAAAGCAATTCTTAAATAGTTATACTAGTTTAGTATCTACTAGAGTAGTTCATATGACCCCTAGATAGTCAAATATACATACATACATACAAATATATATATATATATATACAAAGATACACATATACACATGTACATAAGATCGCGCCGTGCCCGCCCGATCAGACACACACACACACACACACACACTTTGTTTTATAATCGTATTTACATACATACCCATTCGTATTAATCGTCTTATTCATTCGATTGAAATGTTTTTGCCAACATCCTTTCCAAAACGAAAAAAAAAATCAAAAAAACAAATGCTAAAAAACAAAAACAAAATCTAACCTAAAAATGCTTCCATTTTGTAGCAAAGCGCCAAATTCAAAAAAAAAAAACAAAAAAGAAAAAGAAAGAAAACCAAAATGAAGCAAAATCAAAAAAAAGGAAACTCTTGTTATTATTGTTGTTGTTATATTACCAAATTATGTCCAATGTCTAGTCCCCGTCGATTAGAATGCTCCATTTTGGTAATAATTGTTTTCCTAAATTTAAACTTAAGTTAATTGTTAGCCCAAGTATAACAAAAAAAAAGAAATGCTGCCATACGAATTATTTATAGGTTAAACACAATTGTGCTCTGCCTCTTGTTGAGTTGAATTGGCATTTCCCCCCTGTGTACATAGTACTTCCTAGCGTACAGTTAGCATATGCATATATATACAAAAATATATATATACATATATGATTATGACTAACTGTATCTGCAATAATCTTTGCTCATTCTCAGCGTCACGGCGTACACTTAAAGAAGGTTCACGTAAATATCTATATATGAAAATATGCATATATACGTATCAACATATATATGTATATATAGCTGACACATTATACTAATTACGTTTCTATATATATAGATCTCTTGCAAAGATATCAATGTCAATTATTTATGACTATGACTAGCACTTTGTTGCCTTTAAAGGCTGTCGTAACTTAATAAGCTTACAACACACACACACACACACGCACACACACACGAGCGCAACACAAAATGGCAGGCAATAAAAAATGAAGCTCTTCATAGAAATTTGCATTATGCATGCCAAATACTTTGTAGCTGCCATTTTTCCTTGAACGGCTTTAGCTGCGCCATGTTCTCTATTTCCATTTCCGTTTCCGCAGCAAAAATATATATGGCATACTTTTTGGGGCATGCTTAATATTTAGTTTGTAATCATATTTTTGTCATTTTCATTTAATAGTATTCCAATTATTACTCATGAAAACTGAATATACTCTCTATCAAAAATTGAATAATTAATTATTTCAGCACATTTCTGAATTGCATTTGCATTTTCCTTTTTTCATAGCATAGTTTTTCGCGCCTTTGATAAATAGTTTCACGGCAGAAAAGTTGGGTACTGTGGTTTAAAAAAAAAAAACCCAAGTGTGTGAATTTTACTTTCGCGGCATTCAAAATAGTAAGTGAATTTGGCCGGGCAATACGCCCAGGGGCTCAAAGTTATTTTAAATAATATTATGGTTTTTCTTGCCAATTTTTGTTTTGGATCACTTCAGCCTCTGTTTTCGCATGGAAATTGCATTCTTGCTATTGATTTTTTTTTAAACAGAGCTGCTGTTATTTTTATTTTGCAGTGCTTGCCCCACTGTGCGACCTCATTTGGTGCGCCGCCCCGCGTCCAATTGCATTTTACTAAACTTTGATCTGATATAATCCGAGCACACACACACACACACACACAAATACGTGTATAACATTCAACAGCATATGTGCTCTGATTTGATATAATCTGAATACACACACACACACACGAGCACACACTCAAACTCACACGCCATTGTTGGCCATTGTTGAAGTCGAGATATTAAGTATACGCCACGTGTACGCGACGCCAGAGTAAGCAAATTTCGTGTTTGCCGTAGCCGTAGTTTATTTATATATATTTTCGCTCTGCATTAAGCTATAATACCTATATTATGTAACCTCACGTATATACCAAATGCATAGTACATATATATATACATGATATACCTTTCTATATATACCATATACAAATATAAAGAAGATGAAGCGAGCCAATTGGCGCTCCACATATATGTGTCTAGGATATGTTAGAAAACCTTTTTTATTTTCTTATATTTGAAATATATTTTGTTGCCAGAAAAGTGAAAGATAGATATATATTTGAGATCTGACATGCAATCAGATGAGTTGACTTTGAGAAACGATGAATAATAAAAACCAAATAATTCTTTGACTAAAAACGCTTGTGATGTTCTTTTCATTTTAATTCCCCAAAAAAAAAAAAAAACCAATTCTCCAACCAAATATATTTAAAAAAAAGAAACCCACCGAGCACTCACTATGTACCACTCTGTACGTTGCCCAAAATGTTCCAACTGTTCCGCATAAGAAACCAAAAAAAAAAATTATGACACTCTCCTGGTCCCGGTTCATCCTGCGTTCAAAATTGATTGAACAGAAAAACCAAAAAAGTAAAAAAAAAAAAAAAGAAATTGATAAATTAAAAATTGTGATGGACTCAATTTTAGTTTAGTTTAAGTTCTATTGCAAAAACTTCTCTCGCTTCTTTCAATGTTATAATTTGCAAATCTATTTGTTATCGTTATCGTAGTGTGAACCTCTTCAAGTGCAAGCGTTTTTAATCAAAGATGGCCAAAAAAAAAAAAAAATAATAAAGAACGCGCGTTTTTATTGTTTCTGTTTCTCGCAAGCGAAAGCCAAATAAATATCAAAAGAAAAAAATTAATATCAAATGCCAAAGAAAAAACGAGCAAAGACGAAACCAAAAGCCAAAGACAAGCACAAATTAAGCAGTGGAATAACCCTAACAAAAAAAAAAATAAGTAAGAAGATAATTAACCAAAAGTTAACCAAAGAAATTACGAATTAATTTGAGCCCATCACAAATTTTTAATTTGCATGCAACATTGCAACGTCGGGCAGCTGCAGCTCCGTGTGGATGTGCCTCTGGGTGTGGTTGTGGTTTGGTTTGGGAGTATGGGAGTATGGATGTAGGCACCTGGCCGGTTTGCATGGGATTGGGGCAGGGCCGGATTGGGGGCACACACAAAAAAGAAAAAAACAAAAACATTCTAACGATGCGGCGGGCCGCGCCTCTTGCAGCAGCGCGGCACTAGCCATGGCCATGCCGTGGAGCAGATCGAGCTGCTGATCGACGAGAAGTGCCGCATACTCAACAAGACGGGCACACCGAAATCGAGCGCCCTGCACTTGGCCAACTGGATGAAGGGCCAGCTGGACAAGCAGCAGCAGCAGGCGCGCCTGGCGGCCATTGCGCGCTCCCAGGAGAACATCAGCGCCGAGGACGAGCAGCTGATCTTCACCAGCGACAGCGAACAGGACGAGCGCATCATCTACTGGACGCGCCAGCAGCTCGAGAAGCGCACCAAGGAACTTAACCTGGCCAAAGAGAATGGCATGCTCTCCGCCAAGCCCAATTTCGGCGGCAAGCGACTCAGCGGCGTCGAGGAGCTCAGCATGAGCGCCACCTCGGACATCTACTCGGAGGCGGAGGTGGTCACCAGCCAGATCAGTCAATCGCACAGCACCACATCGGACAGTCAGGTGAGTGTGGCTGCGAGGGCCAGCCTACAGAGATGGGCGTGGCAAGCAGAGACTACTGAGTCCAAGGAAAGCGAATATACCTAGTCTCAACTATACTCACTCGTTAACCCCTTTACAACACTGTTAAACTCTGAAAATGGGCTAAGAGAAGAAATTTAAACAACCTTAAAGCCCCATTTCTGAATTTTCAATAAAAATTGAAACACTTCTCAAATGAATTTTCAGACAGATCTTTGAATTTGAATAATAAACAAAACAAGTTTGATTTTCCACCAATTTTTCACACTTGCATGTGGAATATCTGAAAGGTGGTTTGGAGATATATTTGCATATCTCGGGCAAATAAAGTCCGATTGTGGAATAAGTCGAATCAATTTTTATGTTGCACAAGAGACAAATGTTGATATAACCAGAGTGCAATAGGCATATACCAGGCAACCGACCCGACCCAGATAATTTACTAGACTTTCGTTTTTCCCAATTATCCAAGCGAACTTTTTATCTCAAACTCTTTATTCTCATATCAATATGACAGCTGTTGATCTTAGAGACTAGAATAGTCTCTAATACACTTTCGTCTGCCCTGCACAGAACAGTCCATTAAGGTCTTTAGGTGTTTATTTGAGCCACGCCCATCTCTGATAGTTAGTATGTATGTGTAGAGCGTATTGCTAGATGTGGCATTTTTGTTTGTTTTTTGGCGCTACATTCGCTTAGATAACCGTGCGATCCAGTCCCATTGTGCTCGACAAGTTGGCGGTGTGCCGTCACTGCCATAAAAATTGCCAGCAGAGCGCAGGCAGCGTGGGGCGTGGCTCGGCTGGTGCTTCAGCTTCAGCGGCAGCTGTCGGCGGCGGCGGCGGTGGATCCTCGCTGCTGTGCAACTCGCTGAAGGTGCAGCACAGTCAATCCTCGCCGAATCGCTGCTGCAAGCTGAATGGCAATGCCGCTGGCAAAGACAACGGCACCGGAACCGGCACGGGCACCGGAACGGGCACGGGCACGGGCACGGGCACGGGCACCGGCAGCGTGACGAGCATGTCGAGCAGCACCATCACCGGCGAGCTGTCCTCGAAGGTAGTCGCTAGCAGCAGCCGGCGCGAGACCGGCGACACCGAAAGCGATGTGGCCCAACTAATCACCGATGAACTCTCGCTGTCCCAATCAGAGGCCACCGATGACAGCGTCGGCGCCATGCCCAACAGCAGCAGCGGCAGCGGCGCCCAGCTACGAATTCTAGAGCCGCAGCAGGCAACTCCTGTGGCCCAGCTGGCCAATGGCCACTGTTCCGGCGCCTCCAACAAAACCGCATCGACATCCGCATCGGCATCCGCATCGGCAACGGGCTCGCCCAGGACGCAGCCACAGCCGCCGCCACGGCGCACGCGCATCGTGGCGCAGCTGTGCCAGGAGCCAGTGCGTCCGCGCGCCAATCAACAGGTAAAGGCCATGGTCACCGTGACGGAAACGGCGCGAATTATGCGCACCAGCGAACGTGCCAGCGGCGGCGGCGGCGGAGGCGGCTCCCCAGCCAAGTACACAGCCTGCCACTGTCGCTGCACGCCGGAGGACTTCAGGCAGGCGCAGCTGGGGCCGGACAAGATGGAGCAGCAGACCTGCAAGCTGCTAGAGTCGCCCAAGCAGCAGGCAGCCGCTGTGCAACGGCTGGAGGATGAGCAACTCTCCCTGATGCTCATTGGCCTGGCGCAGTTTGCGCCCGCCGCAAAGCTCTGCGGCCCAGAGAAACGTGAGCAGAAACTGGCCCCAGACACGCCCACCATAGCTGTAATGCCGCCCACGCCAGATGCGGTGCTGACCAAGACCAGCACACATGTGTGGGACAACAGTGTCGGCAGCGGAGAGCAAATCACAACGGCGACAACCTCAACGGCCACGGCCAAGCAGCCGAGGCAGGCGATCATTGAGAATATACCGGAGGACTCGTGCGATGAGTCGCCGCTGGAGGAGGAGCCGCCGTATCGGCCCATGACCAGTGCGCTGCGTCGCTTTGGCACCATGTCCAGCCTGGAGAAGCTGCCCTCCGATGAAATAGACGACGAGCTCGAGCCGTACGCCCAGAATGGACTCAACGAGCATATCGAAAACGAGGCCGATAACGATGGCGATGACGATGACGATGGCAATGACGATGACGACGAGGAGGACGACGACGATGTGGCTGATGTGGCTGATGTGGATGATGTGGACGACGACGATGATGTGGATGAGGCAACGGCGGACAAGGCGCTGGCACAGAACCTGCCAGAGCTGGCGACCTGCTCCAGCAGCACAATTCTGGCCAATGGCGATGTGCTGGCCAGCGGCGCTTGGACAAATCGCGCCGGCGCCTTTGTCAGCGACAAGATGTCCTTTTTCGAGGAGTCGCGCGCCTTCATTGACAAATACTTGGGCCGCTGGAATGCCAACGACCAGCCCTCCCAGACGGCGGCCAATCAGACCGCCTCCGAGACGGACGAGCAGCTTGACGAGTGCACCTCGGGCGCGACCAGCGGCGAGGAGGTCTGGGGCACACCCACCAGCGGCGGAGACAACGATGACATGCAGCTGATCAATTCGGAGAACACGCATTCGGTAAGTGCAGCCCAACGAGAGCAAGGCCCATCCAATAATCCAACTACATGCTGCAGTCACCCACCAAGTCGAGCAACTCGCTCAACGACGATGACGACACTGAGCTGATGATGGACGAGCTGCTGATGGCGCCGCCGATGACGGCCAGCACCATACGCGGACTGCTGCCACGGTAAGAGCCAGAGGGAGGCAAGTGAAGAGAGAGAGAGAGAGAGCGAGAGAGAGAGAGAGAGAGATGAGAGACAGAGCGGGATCTTTGAACCCAAACCAAGCAAAGTTATTAGAAACCTTAGACATTGTACACTTAGGAGGCCAAGCTTAGCTATAGATCTCTCATTAATTAAGTATTATATAGTATATATCGATATTTCTTCTTCTTCTTTTAAATGTTTATTTTTTCCACACGTTTTTTTATTCGTAGTTTTTACAGGTGTTTCTTGCGTTCTTTCGTAAACTCTATACACACGTAATCCCAATCGAGAACCATTTAAATTCAATTCGTTTGCCCATTTTAGTGAATCCGATAAACAATCGCTAAGTATATATATCTCATCTTGGATTAGTCTAGGCCACAGACCAACTTAAGAGATTTTCTCGTAAACTAGTCTCATCTTTCCGTAGTGCCTAGTCGAATTTTAACTACATATAGTGCTATATAGAACATTTAATATATATCTATGTATATGTATATGAAAAAACATCTTGCTGAAATTCAAAATTTATATCATTTCACCACACGCTCAATTATTGCTACAAATTTCCAAATCTAAACAAAAAAATCGAAATTCGTTGCATCTCATATCGTATATCGAATCGTATATCGTAAACTTGTAATGCTTAGACGCCGTCTTGAGCCCCTGTTCGAGGAGGAGACCGAAAGCGACGAAGAGAAAACCCAACAGGACAGCGATGACATCAAAAAGGTGGGTCGTATTTAGAACAAATCAATGCAAAGCAATAAATAATTCAATAAATCCAAATAATTTTCAAAACGGCCAGCAACAGATCAAAGCACATTTCGTTTCGATTTTGCAGTCCCTCTCTTATTTTTATTTTTATTTTTAATTTATTTTTTTGTGGCCTGGCCACACTGGTCACATTGTGGCGCATGGCAATGCCCCAGCCGTGCGAACTGTACCCACATTATGCCAAGAAGTCGATGCATATTTGATAAGCCGAAGCTCGAATGCACTTGCAGCTGCATTTCACATATATGAAAAGCTTTTTGTTTTGCAAAGGTTTCACAAAAGTGTCTTAAGCTCAACTATTGTTAGTTTTACGATATATTTGGCCATCTACATATATGTTAAATATTTCACTTGTTGTGCTCATACTTAACAACTGTTTGATTGATCATCATCTCAATTCAAATATTATTATTATTATGCTATAACTAGCGTCATATTATGCTAAATTTTTTCGTTTTTAGACTTAAATCTCAATGATTTGATGCGCTGCAAGTGCTCATACTCATGCATGCATTGCTATCAATCAATTGTTAGCTTGATTGATCGTATTTGTTATTAACTTTTATTTTCTCGTCTTGTTTTCTTTTTCCACATGCATCAACAACCACAACAACAACTGTTCATCATCATCAACATCACGAATCGCTCAATCACCAATCAATCAATCAATCATACACACTATGCATACATCCAAATACATAATTCTCGCTCTCTATGTGTTAACTTTACCTGCAATTTGCTTGTAATTAATTCTTGTTATTGTTGTTGATTAATAACATATTGTAAATGTATGTGTGTATGCGTATATCTATATATCTATATATTCAAATATACAATATATAGAAAGTCGTAGTGAAATTAGTGAAGCTTTAGCCAAATCTGCAATACTGCGAGATCATAAACATCACACGCCAGGACAGAGACCCACAAGCGATTGACAACGATTGACAATCACAGAATGCAAAATGCACCAAATACCCGAAATTGCCAAATTCATAAATCCAAAAATCCAAATCGAATCAAAATGAAAATAATCAGAAATCGAACCAATCGAAATGAACCATTTGAACCGAACAATTAAACAAGAAAACGAACCACTCCCATATGGCACACCAAGTGCAAGCTGGATGCTTTATCAAAACCAGAATTGATTAGTTGAATTCTATTCCCAACAATTGGTAGGGGGAAGCAACGACAAATGGCCACTACCTAGAGGATTCGGGAGCTGGAAGCTCAAGCGACGAGGCAGCCCCAACAGCGGCCAATCCGAGGCCGGAACCGGAGCCGGAGCCGGAGCCACACTCCAGCGAGGAGCGTCTGCAGCCGAATTTGGCCACCACACCGCTGGGTCCACGGCCGCTGACCACCCACGCCAGCACCATGCTGTTGCCCACCACAGCCATTTCGGCGCCGACGTCGACATCCATACGCGCCCAGAACCAGCTGGGCGCAGTGCCTCCAGCGGCACCGCCACCGCCACCGCCACCAGCAGCGGCCTCATCCTGCGAGTATCTACTCGAACCGCGCGCGTCTGCGACCACGGCGACATCATTGACCAGGACGACGACGACGATGACGACGATGACGACGAGTGCGACGACGACGAGGACAACGAGGATGTCTATGGCGACGCCGACTATGCCGCCACCTACGACGACGGCGACGGCGAGTCGGGCTCCCTCATCGACTACTACAACAACCAGCAGCGGGAGCGGCACTACCAGCAGCGCCGCCAGAGCCAGCGTCAAGCCACCGAGATTCATTCCACCGCCGCCGCCGCCTCGTCGTCTGCTGCTCACGCAGACAAATCTAAGCGCTGCGGCAACCAAAACGGTAGGTCCACCAAGTCCCAGGCAAGCCAATCGTATTCCAGCTGACGCCCGCTATAAGCTATATATATATTCTCGATCAGTCCCATTTTTATGCCCTGAACCCTGAAGAGGCCAAACCATGAGCAAAGACCCAAACCTCGTATGAATCGAATGAGATTTGACCGAGTTATGGGGATGGAAAATGTAGTCCTATGTCTATGTAGGATATTTGAAAGTTCCATTTTTACATGAATTATAATATTGCCAGATTCAGATGCCGAATGGATCTAGAGCCAAGAGATTTGATCGAGTTATGGGGCTGGGAAATTTAGACCTATGTCTATATAAGATATTTTCCATTTTCAAATGATATTTATGGTTTTTTTTTTCAACCGATGGTTCCAAAAGTCTGCTGATAGCATACCAATCTTAAGTATGCAGATTTAATAAAAACTTGCAGATATAACACTTCCTGGTTGAAGACAGCTTTATATATGATATAGTGGCTACTGTGCCGTCTGCAACAGAAAGAGGCAAGTTTCTTGATAGCATTAAAACCAATAGACAGACGAGCCTGGCTCTAACGACTCGGCTGTTGATAGGCACGTGTGTGCGTAAACCACTTGGGAATTACTAGAGATTGTTATGTTTAAATTGTGCTGGATACTTCTCACTCTGCTCACTGCTCGACTAATTGCAGCAGCCACCTCAAAGAAAATCTGGCGCTACTGCTGACAGTGGCTGCTCGGCGGCTGTCGGCGACGCCGCCAACGCTTCGCCCACAATCGGTACCGGGTCAAGGACAACGCCTGCGAGTACCAGAACCTGTGCACCATCAGCGGCGAGGGGCCCGGCTGTGTGTCCGGATCCGGATCCGGGACCGGTGCCCGGCCCAAAACGCCCATCGTCAACGATAATCGAGACCTGCCTGCTGGGTGCCGCAGTGCCGGCAGGCTCAGCCACTTCATCAGCAACAGCCTCGAGGATGGCAAAGCCGATGCGGAACAGCTCGCAGAGCAGCCCAGCTGCAGCGGCAACGGCAACGGCAACGGGAACGGCCCCGGAGCCGACGCCGGCGGCCGTACCGGGCGCAGTCGGTCCACGTTCTGTGGACGTTGCCCCAGCGCCGCACGTTGGCTGCGGTTTAAGTCCAAGACTGGAAATGCGCTTGGCGCTCAACCACGACATTCTCGGGGACGAGGACTTGATCTGCTACGAGCCTGGTCCAGATCTAACAACTATTCTGGGGTAAGTCCAAAGGCTACCAAAATCCCTCAAATTATATAATACCTTGACGCCCTAGTTTTGTGTAAATATATATAACAGGCAGCAGTAAAGTTTCCCGTCTCCACATACTATATATATTCTTTATCAGGTCGACGATCTGAGTCGATCTTGCGAAGCGTTCCGTCTGTCCGGGCTATACGTATGTTGCTCAACGTCTCTCATCTAGATTTTATAGTCTATATATTTAGCACTCTATTTCAAATTAACTCAAAGCTTATAAAATTCGATATCGATATTCTGGCATATTTAAGCCCTGATAATTTCAAGGGAATCGAACTATAAACACTCAATTCACTCAAGATCACATTTCACTTGGGTGGATTAGGAGATCCGTGTGTCTGAATGGCAGCTTTTCTCTTTTGTGGATGCACGTATGTGCCGGAGTCTGTTTGAATAATTGCAAAAGCAGCTGTGTTTCAGGCTTTGTCCTGCTTAAGCCAATCACACGCAAAGCTCGTGTTTAACAGTTTCCACCCCTTTTCCACGATCGTGAGTGAAAAATCGGTAATGCTCTCTTGTGAATGTTCTCTTATGAATATTCTTTTGCTAAAGAATACTGTACAACAGTCTCTCTATCAGTCAGTCAGTCAATCAATCAGTCCTTCGATCACTAACGAAATTTCTGTCGCATTTCGTCTAATTTTGTATTTGCTCTGACAGGCACGACCTCTCCACATTTCATCGACTGACGGGTCGCGATTTATTGAGTCGTTCAGCCACGAATCGGGTGCAGCCAAAAGAGGCTGTCATATCGTACTCTCAACAACGCAACTCCAAGATGGACACGCCGACGGTGAATCGGCGACCACGTCCGGCCATAACAACGGCCGGGGTCGGTCATCCCGGCCAGAGGAGTCACAGCAGCAGCAGCCACGGAAGCCCGCGCGCCGCTGGTTCAGCTCGTGCCGGCGTCGGTCCACAACGCCAGCATCCAAGTCCAAATACATGGAACAGTTCTGCATCTGCGGCTCGAAACGGCGCAGGGAGCGCAAGCGCCGCCGACAGCAGCACAAGCTGCAGCAACAACAGCGGCGCGAGCAAATTAGGCGATCTGGAAATCTTAGCGAGACGCGAGAAGATATACTGCATGTCTCAATCGAGGAGTGGCTGTCGAGCCAGGGCGACATCCGAGACAACAACGACAACGAAATTGACAACGATCCAGACGACGACCATGACCACGACGATGGCAACGAGACGCGACTGTTCCTCGCCAGCCACCAACAGGACGACAGCAGCAGCAGCAGCAGCAGTCTCTCTGACGAGGACGATGAGTACTACTTCGATGGATGCGGTGGCAACCACAACAACAACAACAATGACTGAAGCGTGCCTCGAAACGGAAGTGGGCAAATCCAACCGTTTGTATGTTCCATGCCACATGTGGCAACAATAATAAAGCCTAACCATGCCCCCTCTCCCCACGCAGAATCAACTTTATCAAGCGCCGCAACTCTGAGATAACCGCCAGCGGCAGCAGCAGCAGCAATCCCAACAACTCCGACAGCACACTCGGTGGCGACTCGCAGCAGCAGCAGCAGCAGTTGCAGCAGCAACAGTTGCAGTTGCACGGCAGTCAGCAACTGCTGAGGCAGGCGCCGGACAACGCGGAAATGGCACAAATGTCGCCGCGCAAAGACAACGTAAGTCGGAACTCAACCTAGCATACCCTGTACCCGTTGCAAATGGGTATATTTGGATTGTCCAAATATATTCCCGACAAAGTCCTCCAGAATCGACCCAGCCAAGTCTATCCGTCTAGACAAACGCATGGATCTCGGGAACTACAGAAGCTTGAGACTCAATGTCTAAAATATATACTCTTCTTAGTGCCACATAAAACGAGTAAGTCGCTTATTTTTCAATGCCTTCGCTCATACTCATTGCATCGATAAATATCGATTGATAAGTATCGTTAGCTAGAGGATTATAAGAGCTAAAGACAACAAACTTGGCATACATATTAGTGTATAATATACACAGCTTAAGAGTATTTCAAATCAATATTCAACGCAGAACGAGTTATTCGTTTATTTTTCCATATTTCCCTGAATTTCAATATATATAAATATCGATTGTGAGAATCGCTTCTTAACGCATAACTCGAGGAATTTAAGACCTAGATACATCAAACGTGGTATGCAGACCCTTATAAAGCTTACTCATATTAAGAATATTTCACTTTTTGTATACCTTCCTCCATTCCCGCAATATTTAAATATCCTTACGCGTGAATATAAAGCAGTGTCCCTTGGTATATTGATATATTTCCCTGAAAAGTAAGTAAAGATTGGACAATGAACAACGAAGCTTATCTAGAGTGCACAGTGTACAGGTACGGGGTATCTTCAAGTCGGTCTACCGACTAGACCAGTCTTGTTTTATATGCTCATTGTTATTCTCTCTATGCGGACAGGACAAGCCCTCGCTGAATCGCCGCCTGTGGAAGCAAATCACCAAAAGAAGACGCACCAATTCCGTATCCCAGATAGTCGCTGGCTAAGAAACGGCGACTCCCACACCTCGACCGACACACACTCACACACACACACCCTTACTCTTACAAATGTCTCTTTCTATATATATCTCTCTCTCTCTATCTTGCTCTCTCTCTCTCTCTCTCTCTCGTTCATGTTTAGATAGAGATACATGGTTGTATCTGAGTATCTCCGTTCAGCTGTGTGATATTTGCCAGCGTAGCGCTTTTATTGGGTTGCATATGTAGCATTTAGTTAAGACTTAGTTAAGTTATCAGATTGTGCAGGAGCTTAGCTAGTTCCATAATGATTTGCGCTTGGAGACCGTTCACACTGTCAGTAGTTACTGCGCCAGTCAGCAGTAGATCGCATTTTTCAAATCATTTCATATTCCTAAAGCAAAACGTTTTTCAGCACTTAATTGCAGTAAGTTACTGCTGCAAAGTTCATTAAAAATTACTGCTACTGCAGTAAGCAAATAGACCATGTTGTTTTATTAATTATTGCAACACTGATTTACTGTTACTTTGCTGCACTCTCACAGCTGTGCAGTAAGTCGTTAGAGTACTTATGCGAACAAAATTTACTGCTGGCAGTCAAACACACAATGTTTACAGTTAGCCTTTTAACACAGTAGTGCTGTGTTTCCACTGACTTGCTGCTGCCAGTGTTTCCACTGCAATGCAGTAAGTTTCAATGTCAATAAGAGTAGCAGTATTCAGCTGTTCGCATACAAACGTATCGGAGTCAGTTACTGCAGTTAAATACTTGACTGCACAGTTTTACAATTTCAATGTGTTTCCACTGCTATGCAGTAAGTTTTTGCTTTGTCAGTTAGAACCTTAGCTTACAGACAGTTACTGCAGCCAGTTAATTACTAAACTGCTCAGTTTTCTCATATGTAATGCGGTTTGCACTGCAATGCAGTGAGCTAATGCTGCCAGGATAATCAAGTAATTGCCTAATGCCATACTTATTTTTAGCGTGTTTCCACTGCAAAGCAACTGCAGAATGCAGTGTGAACGGCCTACAAATCGATCAAACTGATATTTAGATAAATTGAGCAAGCAAACTAAACGATGATGATGATGATGATGATAATGATGATGATAATGATGCTGGTGATGAATACGATGTTAATGTTAGAGAAAAGAACTATGTAATACCTATGCTAAGTTTTTTGATACTTACAACTTTGTAGCTAGTTAAACCCATAAACGAATGCGTCCAATTGCGTCCAAGTCGAACGCGACTCCTGCCAAAAAAAAAAAGCTGGCCAACTGGTTGCTAACTACCAAGTTTTGAGGCCAAAAATCGAAACTCTCGAATCTAGAAATAATGAACAGCCAAAAATGGGACAACGAATGGACAGCTCTGCCTGAGGGCAAGGCTTTAGTGACTCTTATTTAACATACAATTCGATAAGCAACAGCTTATCGGGCGGGTTGTAGGGCGCACACACTCACACACACACACACAAATACACACACGCCATCCAGCCAAAAGAAATTTGGAAGCATATAAAATATGTGTCGACTGTTTTTTTTTATTTAGAGAGAATAATATCGCAATTGGTAGCAAGTCAAATTAGTTTAGGTTCACACTGGATTAGCTTAGGTTCACACTGGATTAGCCGGTGTGAATGGGGCTTTTGAATTGTATTTTCTTTGAATTCTTTTACTTTTTTGAATTAACAATGAAATTGCCTTACGTATAATATGAACTATTTATTGTATTTGTAGCTTAACATTAAACTTTATACACTTTATGGCATTTTGCAATTGTCATTTGTCCAGTAAAAGGTAAAACAAAACAAAAAAATAAACAAAAAGAAAAAGTAAAAGTTACAGTAAAAAGTACTCGTAGTAGCGGTAAAAAGAAAATTTTAAGAATTCCCACTTTTTTATTTCCTCAACTATTTACAGCATATTTACATGCATTTTTGTCAGATAAAGATACAGTTAGATGCGTTTAGGCAACGTTTGTGGGCTATTAGAGGGGGGAACGGTGGGGAGGGGGGTTTTATGATAACATACAGCAAAACCTATGTATGTGTATGTATGTGCATTTTGTATATTATTTCACATTGAAATTGTTGAAAGCTAACAAATTATACGAAATAAAATACAAAACAAATGAACAAGTACATTTATCAGCTTTAATAGAAATTCTAAAAAAAAAATTTAAAACAAAAAAAAAACATATGTAGTTATATAATTGATATACATACACACATATATACATACATGCATATATATATATATATATATATATATACATTTATGAGGAAAACTACTTTGATTAGCATGTAAAAGATCGAACTATTAGGCATTTATCACTTTTAAACATTATACAACACTGGCAACAACGCCGCCTGCATTGCATCTCAATTGTGAATGCATGGCCCATTCACACTGCAGCTAGAGAAGCCGTCCCCACAAACTCCTCACCCGACATGGGTCATGGGACTTTTGAATTTATTTCTTTTTACTTTTCTTTACTTCAAACAATAAACGGTACAGGTATACAATAAACGACTTTGTAAAATTAAAGCAAACAATTTTTTTGAAATACAATTAGACTCACACACAATTAGATTGAATATGTAATGCTTTGTTGTTTTTGTGATTAAAACATTAGATTCCAAATTGATAAACTTAGCGAAACAGAAATTTCCTCTTGAAATTCAACATAAATAAATTCAATTATATGAGAGAAACAGAAAACAAAAAACCCAATAAAAACATCAAATTTCAAATAAATCAAACTCAAAAAAAAAAAAAGAAAAAAAAAAACAAATTGTAGTATTATATAGAAATATTTCTTATCAAGTGAAATTTATTTGCATTTAAGCGTGGACTGTTTAACGTTTGAGGGCATGGCAAAGATGCTTTTTGTATCTACTGAAACGTTTAAGGACATCGCACAAAGAGGATTTCATAAAATGTTGTAATTAACTTAAACGAAGCTTGCAGCCCGTAGGTAAAGTTGCTTAAGCTGTTGCTGGCGCAGCTCTTGGCTGCCCAGACAACCGTTAAGGACATCGCACAAAGAGGAAGTAAAGAGAATATTTCTCCCGAGCCAGCGTGGGAAATCGACGCTTTTTTGCACAAGTTTGTCTCCCTTGATTGATTGCAACCCCCACATTTGCACTCGCCAATGGACGTATCCGGCTCTGTATGCCAGCAAAAAAGATCTATGTGTAGTTCTGATTGCACATCGCATCGCTGACTACGAATAGCAACAACAATGGCAAAAAAAAAAAAATGTAATTAAAAAAAAAACACAAAAATTAACTGTCAAGCCCAAGCCCAGGCCGCAGCCGCAGTCGCAGTCGCAGTCAAAGCTTCAGCCTAGACCTCAGCTTTAGTTGCAGTCGACGTCGCTGCCAACGTCGCCGTCGTCGAGTCCCGTTTGGTGCGTGCAGTGAAATGCAGTTTTAAAGCGTGCCGAAAAAAAAAAACAGTGGGAGAGTGCGCTCTCTTTGGGTGTCGCTGCGGCGGCTGCTGGCGCAGTAGCTGGCCGAGGTTCGTTTAGAGAGCATGGCGCCGGCGCCGGCGTCGCCGTCGCAGCTGTTGCTACCGAGCTTTGGCATGCTCAAAGCTGTTGTCGCTCAGCTGAGCGCTCAGTTTGAAAACGAGTTTCGTGGCGAACGGTCGATCAGCGCCAGTCGTAGCCGCAGTCGCAGTGGCCCTAAAGAATTTTGCCGCAGCCTCTCGCCACCGTGTGTGTGTGCGTGCGTGTGCCTGTGTGTGACTGTCTGCTTGTGTGCGTGCGTGTATGTGTGTATATTGCATTGTTTATTTACATACATTACATGTTTCTCCATTTGGCGTTTTAATTGGGCAGCGAGTGCAATTGTTTGCGCCGAGTGTGTGTCTGCGTCTGTGGGCAGTCGCTTAGTAAATATTAGTTTCTTTTTTTTTAACATTTTTTTGTTTTGTTTTTTTGTGCTTTCCCAAAAAAATCAAAAATAAAAACTGCACTCGCGCGCGCTCATGTGTGTGTATGTGTGTGTGTGTGTTAAGCTGCATGTGAACTAACAGGAAACAACGAGCAATTAAACAAACGACGTTAACGCGGACGCAGGCGCAGGCGCAGTCGCCATCGCCGCCACAGTCGCAGTCGCAGCCGCAGTCGCAGTTGCCGTCGCTGTTAGAACCATGAAGCCCAAGACTCGCTAATTGAGGTCGTCGCTAGGTAAGTTCTGTGATCTGTCTAATGCTTCTTCTTGTTGTTGTCGCTGCTTCCGTTTGCCTTTGCCAACATTGAAATTCACTTACAGCAGCGCCAACAGCAGCAGCAGCGGCAGCGGCAGCAGCTCGCAAAGTGCGCTTAAGAAACATAGAGACAAAAGAAACATAGATACACGGATACAGCGAGGTGCAGAGTGTGTGTGTGTGTGTGTGTGTGTGTAGACAAACGGTAAATAATGCCGGTGCTTACGCTGCTCCGCCCGTAACTCCCCAAGGCAAAATTTGCAGCACGCACAGTGGTACGCACGTCAATTAAAATTGCATGAAATCTAATTGAAGCAATTTGGCATACTTCAAAGAGAAAACTGTCAAGAACCGCTTAAGAATTCTAAGCGAAAGAGAAAAGTATGTAAAAAAGCCAAATAAATACAAATGAAATGTATTCGTTTTGCATTTAAGGTAAAACAAAAGTCTACTTTTGATCAATTTCATAAACAAAAAAAAATGATAAATGCATTCGGAAGAGAATTCAAATTAATAATATCTGGAATAAATTGTTTGGATCAATTTATTAATGCACTTCAAGCTTCAAACTTACAAATTTAAATTTGCGCTCTTTTCTGTTTGGCACTTTTGCATGTGCTTGTACCACTGTGCATGGCAACTGCGGCAAATCAAAATGACAGATAGACGCTGTAACTGCAGCTGTGTTGTGCCCGCTGCCCCGCCCGCTCTCAGCTCCTCGCTGGAGTTTAGTGTTAGCCAGTGAAAGCAGCGTCAAATCTGCGTCTACTGTATCTGTATCTGTATCTGTATCAGCAACTGTAGCTGTATCTTTAGCTATAGCTACAGCTATAGCTGTTGCCAGCTGAGAACCTAACTGCTGCTGCTGCAGCTGGCATTCCATCAACATCATCTGAGAGCCATCAACAAATAATAATTATCTAGCTATCTGGCCGCATAACTATCTATTGATGCTGCTGCGGCTGCCTCAAAGCCGCAACGGAAACGCGCCACTTGCTTTCAGATCACTTTTCGGCTTCTATATGTATCTGTATCTGTATCTGTATCTCTTGTATCTTAAGGTCAAAAACCACAGCTGCTAAATGCATATTAAGTTATTTAAGGCGAATCGAAAACAACGCCAGATAACACATCGATGCGGATGTGCGGATATGCGGACATATAGATACATAGATACAAGATACAAAGATACACTGCCTATTTAGTTGTTGCTGCTGCTGTGAACTCAACAAGTTTTAGTGCCAGAAACGGCAAGTGCAAAAATTTGTTGCGAAAATTGATTAACAGCAAACTGGTTGAAGATCGCGAGCCATTACCATTACCTGCCACCCGCCCCGCACCCGAGGTACAACTGCCACACACACCCCCCCCCCCCCCCCCCTCCCCCCTTACACCCTCTCTCCGTCATGTAGCTGTTGAAATTTTATAAAATTGCTGCTCAAAAGTTTTTTAATTGAATCTCATATAAAAATCAAACGCAACGCAAACAGTTTAAAAAGCGCCGACAAACAAAAATACGATCATGATGATGATCATAATGATGATGATCATAATGATGTTGATGTCCATTGAAACTTGAAAACTTGGTACTTAGTACTTGGCCTGTAATGCTCGGACATGGCTGCGACATTTATAAGGTATATACCAAAAGTTTCGTATAGGGTATATTTTAAGTTTGTCACAAATTGGATAGCGCTGTAAATATATATACATTCTGGATGGATATATATCTTGGATGGGATTATTATGCAGCTAGAAAAACGTTCTATATAGATTTTGGTTTCATACGGGGAGAACATTTATTTGCGATTATTTCGGTAATTTTTCGCAAGTTATCGATAACATGTCTTTAGCAAATATCGATAAGTTGTACCATATATAATATCGCAATCAAATATTTCAATATCATATATAGCTATACATAAATTGTGTACGGCTGTAAATATATACATTCTGAAGGGGTATATATCTTGAATGAGATTGTTCAATAGCTAGAGAAATGTTTTGTTTAGTAGAATTTTATTTTTTTTGGCTATTTAGATAGCTTTCCAAAACTTATCGATAACAGGTCTGTGTGTCTTCAGCATATATCAAAATATCAAAATATGGATAAACTATACCATATATCATTTATCGCAATATCATATATAACTATATAACATATCATATAACTATTTCGTAAACCCATATAAGCTCTCGATCGCCAATGAGGTCTACCTGGGAGAAACTCTTATGATTTGAAAGACATTCCGAACCAATTCGCCGAGCTTTATGTTAAACCCACCTGGCAAACTTTTAAGCAATATAGCTATAGCTTAGATAGGAATAATCTATAATAATTGATCTAGATCCAATTGTGCGATCTGCTGCACAGTTTTTGTCAACGAGGGTATTTGTTGGTCGGCACTGCCCAGCCAAATCTTCTTGCTTGTTTTTGCTTTTAATTTAAAAAGCATTTTTTGATTTTGTGTTTTTTTTTTTTTGGCGACTTTTGTTAAACAACACATTTCACTGGACAAACGACTGAGGAACTGATAAACTGGTTTCCCAGTTTATTGAATTAAATACATTTGCATCGCACGCAAAAGCGCTTCAAATGTTGTTGTTTTCTTCGGCTTATATTTTACTTTGATTTTTATTTTATTTTTTTTTAATAACAAAACACAAAACAACAAGATGGTTCGGTTCTCCGGGCATGCTCATAAAACTGCTCAAGGTATTTGAACCCAGAGCCAACGACGCAAAAAAATACAAAAAAAAAATAAAAAAAATTAAATCAAGCTCACAATAGGCAAGGGGCAACGAGGGCCAGAGGCAGGCGAGGGCAAAAGAACGCAACCCCAACCCCTTTTGTTGAAAAGTGTCAGCAGCAGCTGTCATAAGCTTAAGATATAATATATGTACATACATATATAACATATATACATATGTATATGCCCATATACCATATAGCCCGTATTCAGCTAAGCCTTGAACTGCACGAGTTGTTGAATGTTCCCATAGAACATGTTGTTGAGCTTCAGCTTCTTCCCTTTGTCTATTCCGCTTTGTCTTCCTCTTGCGCTTCTTTTATCCCACCTGGTGTTCGGGCACATTTCCCTTCACCAACATCATGTTCCACATTCCACACGTTCCACTCACTTTCAGCTGAACTGATTTCCAACTGATTTTGTTCCCTTGCACAGAAACCTTTCTAATTTGTAACGATCTCTGTGTGATTTTTCACCCATTCCCCCCCGGCCCAATCCACCGACTCCTCACTCCAATTGCCGTTCATCCGCTAATTGATTGACTTTTCCTACTTGGGCCAGATATATGCGACATACATATAGATATATATATGTACATATATGTATGTAAGCACTTGCACACTAGGCACTTGTCTGAGTCGTTATTTTCTTTTTTTCTTTTGCCCCTGACTCACTTTGTTTATCGATAACTTTGGCGCTTTATTGCATTGATCGTTGTTTAAGCCAAACCTGATAGCCAGTTGGACTTAACAATCTGTCTAAACATTGATATGCACGCTCTGGGCCGACATTCATAAAGTTGATTCATTTCTATATTTCAAGTTGATTTTGTCATCTTACAAATGTTTCGCTGTTTTTCCCCCTTTTCCTGTTGTTGTTGTTGTTGTTTTTAATTGATTATACAGCAGTTATTATTGATCAGATATCGATTTAACAGTTGAACCATTAGCTTATCCGATCGCAGGCATTAAACAAACTAATCTATTGTCTTTATAGTCCGTGTGTGGATCAAGCCTAATGCTTTTCAGGGTACTTGAACTTCTGCTACTTCGCCTTACTTCTCCGCCTCCTCCTCCTCCTCCTCTTTAGTCTCTTACACTGCCAAGAACAATGGAACCCCACAGCGGTGACGATGGCTCCGATTGCTCTTTGGTTCTTTGACTATGCTTCTGCATTGTCTAAAGTCAGCTTATGCCATACATAATAATTAGAATCATGCATAGCTGCGTCTTACAGGGTGTGTGCGTGTCTCTCCCTCCCTCTCCCTCTCTCTCTCTCTCTCTCTCTCTCTCTCTATATGTGTGTGTGAGTTCGCTGACTGACTGGCTGACTGTGACTGTGACTGTGACTATTACCGTAGCTACCGTAGCCGGGCTGCCAACTGGCAGCTGGGAGCGCTACGAACTTGGCGCTGTTTGGCTGCTCATAATCACAGGCCATAGCCATAGCCATAGCTGAAGAGCCATCATCATGCACTGCGAGAAACTGGATGTGCATATGTAGTTGTTCGATTCGTGGCTTTTCAAATAGAACCCTTGATCGTTTCTATTCGAGCTTAGCTTTTATTTTATTTAATAACAAAATAATAACAAATCTAATGCAATTATTTTTAATAAATTAAAAAATGTATATAAATAACATTTGACATTTATCGTCAATCAGTTCAAGCGCCGCTTTGCACTCAGTTATTTCGCTCAGTGTATTTAGCGTGTCGCTCATTAAACATGGCTGCGTTTGTGCTAAGCAATTACAAAGCCAAAAGAATCGGAGTAGCAAACAGTTTTTTATTAATGTTTATTGTTGTTGTTGTTTTTGGCTAAAAGCAAATGGTCAAAACGTTACAAAAATTGATTGCCCACAAAGTCGCGATTACTTCAATGTCCGATGAGCCCGATGATTGTTCCCCTGCCCCCTGTCCGATGTCCGATGTCCGATGTCCAATGTGCGATGCCCGATGCTGCCATTAATCACAGCTCGGCAAATTGAATTCTGTGCATGTAGAGTCCCAACAAAAGTCGACAAATTAACGTGTTTTTAATTGGCCTCCGCCAAACTGGGAGCACTAAAAGTAACAGCTAAAAGCTGAAAGCTGAAAGCTAAAAGCTGAAAGCCAAGCTGGAGGCATGCCACGACGACAACGGCAGCGACAGCAACAACAATGGGCCAATTGTCAAGCGGAGTCGTTGAACTCCGCGAGTTATGCGCCAGGTTAATTATGATAAACGCCAAA